ACATAATTGATATGTACTAACTGACGTAAACAATTGCTAAAATAACAAAACTCTGTTAGAATATTAAACAGAGTTTGTTATAGTGAGTTATAATTTGTTTAAAAGGTTGTACACTATTCAAGCTCTCCCTTATCAATAGCCATTCCGCATTTGTTCTTGGCCATTCTCAATACCTTTTTTTTTTAAAAAAAAATTTATGGAGGAGGAGAGCGGGATAGTACAACGTCTCTGCAACTGTGTTTTTAAACTTGTACTCAATAGTCCAGTCTGACTAGTCGAACCAAAAACTAGCTAGGCTTCCTATTCGTGTCTCTTTTAAAAATTGCACCTCAAAAACTCTGTAAATCCCAATTTTACTAATCTTGTCATTTTTTCTATATTTTTTTCATTACTAATTTCTTTTTTTTTTCTTGTATTTTCTTCATCTCTAAAGCCTAATTTCATCTCTCCAACAATCAGGTGATAACATATGCAAAATCACGAGGGAAAAGTTTCAAGAAAATAGCAAGAAAGAAAATGGGAAAATATATTTATAAATCTATGCATTGCTATCTTTTTTTTTTTTTTTGGCAAGAGAAAGTTGCTTTTATTGATCTGTACAATATAACCTTACAAAGGGATAAACCTCCTACATCAACAAAACTTCTAGTGCAATATCAGCACTGTACAGAATAGGTAGAAAAGCTAACAACATTAAAAGCTAAACCTATTAATCAATCTTAGTCCAAACCCCTCTCAAGCATCAATTGCCAATTAGTCTTAGTCCTTGGGGCTTTGGATCAAGAAAGCGCAGACAGCCAAATCACTCTAGTAATATTCTCCATAAATTTCAATGTTCCTACAGATAAATGCTGAAATACCCTCTTGTTTCTTTCTTGCCATATATGCCAAACAGTGGTTGCAAAAACATGAGGCCTGATTTTAGACACAAAGGAGCTTGAGCTAGCATGTTGAGACCATCACGTTACTTCTTCATCCCATGGTAAAGAGCATCTATATACCAAACAAAGTCTCTGTAGTTTTTCCAATATGCAACCAGAAAAAGTCCATTGGAAGAATAGATGCTCAATCGTCTCATTTTCTTGATTGCACAGAACACAAATTGGAGAGACATTTGCTACTCCCCATCTAGCAAGTCTACCCTTAGAAGTTTATGTTGTACTGCTAACCACAGTACAAATGCAAATTTTGGTATATGGACACTCCCCCAGATAAGCTTGAATCAAGATACCTTAGTTCCTGTGTGAAACAATTTTTCCATAGTAGACTTAACATAAAGTACTCCATTTGCTATTGCTGTCCACCTTACGCAGTCCTGCATTTGGTATTGCAGTAAGATTGGAGCACAGTCTTTAAGCTCTCGCACCTTAGCATTAAAACGTCTTCCAATAGCCCAGATCTATTCACTATTGATAATCAAATCAGCCACTTTTAGATAGCTTAGATAGCTTTAGGTCTCTAAGCAAAGATTCAGGAAATTTCAGGTAGAGGGGTCCCAAAGAGAGCCAATTATCAAACCAGAAAGGAGTGCCCTTTCCAGCGCCAATATCAACACTGATCAGAAGCTTAGCAGTGTTTCTGATTTTAAGAATCTTCCTCCAAATCGAGGAACATTCAGTAGGTATTTTGATTTCCCAGAGGCTACATTTATTCAGCTTAACCGAGTGGATCCACCTCACCCATAAAGTGTCTTTTCTTTTTGTACATATATTCGAAATCAATTTCAGCATCAAACAGGTATTACACTGAACAATATTTCTAATCCCCAAACCTGCTTCTTCCTTTGGTCTACAAACATCTAACCACTGATCGACAAATTCTTGCAAGCGTCTAGGGTCAATCGTAGTAATAATTTACCTGAAATATTTCAAGGTCGAACCCACATAAACGAGTTAATTTTCTACTTTAATTATTCTAACAAAATAACAAAATTCAAATTTAAGAAGTGTATTTTCTACTTAAGCAATAAAAGAAAAAAATCAATTTAAATAAAGTAGTGGTGAGAAAACAATAGACGTGAGTGTAGGGTTTCATTTTTTAATTCAAAATTTGAATCAATTAACTAGTTAATTTCTTACCAAGTTATGAATGCATCACATATCTATATTTTAGACCAGCTCTCGATGCATCTAAAGTATGTTTAATTAAATCCTATGCCTCTCTTGATGGTCATAGGATTTCAATTAAACCCATTAAAATTCTCAGTGATATAGGTGCATCACACATACTCTAACCTACTCTCGTGATTAGTCTATGTGTATTTATCTATCTAGCGCACGGTTGTATCTCCTTTCTCAAGTTGACACAAACCCAACATTCATGTTCATGGTGATCATGCATTAAGAGCAAGATAAATAAATCATAGTAAAAAGCAAGAAATTAAACTAGAAAAATTAATCAAATTCCTTTATTAAAACCCTAACCCTAGAAACAATTTATTTCAACATGATTTAGAAGTTAAAACCACGAATTTAAAAAGTTGCTACAAAGATAAGAGAAAGAGTAAGAAAACTTTTCAATTGTTTGCTCCAATCTTCTCCTTGCGTGCTCCTTGATTCGCCTCCGTTTGATCTTGATCTCTCAAGAATAAATTATGAAAAGATGTTAAAACTAGACTAGACTAATGTTTTCCACCTAAAAACCCCTATTTATAGCTTCTTGAAGATATATCCTAAATAGGGTAGGAATAGGTTCAATTGGATTCAAAAAATCATGTTTTCGCACATTTATCCAATGAAGACCAGCCCAATATCCGGTGCCTGTCATTAGATTGAGCACAAAGCATAAAAGGATCTAGAGATGTTCGGCGTCAAGCCATTTGCGAAGTCTAGCACCGATCATGGATTCAACCACGGATCAGTACGGATCCACATGAGGATCACTTTGAAACCTCAAAACACCATCAAATAGGCCAAATTAGTTCTTGCTCAAAAGACAAAATTGTAAACCTTTAATAAGCTTTCTAACGCCACAAGAATCATGTCATTTGGAGATCTGGACGCTAAGATATGCCTAAAAAACTAATACCTGGTCATAAGAGCATTGCAGCACAATTGTACTTCAGTAATTTGGACTTTTGACTGTGAAAATGTGAGAACCAAACTTTGAGGTCTTCATAAAAGTTGTAGAGAATTCTCTTAACTTAAAATTAAATCAAGAATCATCTTAATCTGATTTCTGTTACTCAAGTTATCACCAAAATACTGAAATATGTCATTCCTACGAAACCTCTTTCCCTTGACTTTTTCCTCTTTCATTGCTAATTCACACCATGTTTTTAGTCCATTTTCTCTCTAATTGAACTTTACACCTATTAGAATAATATAAGAGCAAAATTAAGTAGTTTCTACTCAAAATAAAGCTCAAATAACATGGTTATCTAGCAACTTATGCATTTAAATGTACTACAATTTATACCCTAGCAAATTCTCCTGCACTTAGTCTGTGCTTGTTCTCAAGGACAAGAATAAAGCGAATTAAATATAAATAATGGCTATATTCAAGGTTATCATTATTAAAGCAACCATTCTATGCAAGTGTCAAGTACTAATAGTAAAAACTAAAGAGACACTTCTTCGGTTAGCTTGAGACACTTCTTCGGTTAGCTTTTAACACCATCGACCCTTTCAACTCCGGCTAACTAAATTAGGAATAAATATATTTAACAAGCATTTCCTTGCAAATGGCCCAAGTATTAAGCAAAATATTAAACTTATAGCCATATGGATCCACATGCTAATCTTATTATCCACATATTTTTGTTTCTTTCTTTTCATATTTTTCTCTTTATTTTTCTTCAAATTCCCCCACACTTAAGCTTTTTCACATTTTAACAAGAGGAATACACTTAATTATTAGCCGTTTAAGCCTTTTGACGCGAATTCTAACATCTCCCAAATAGAATAGCCTGGTTACTTAGCTTACACCGCTAAAGAATCACATACTCATAACAATCATCACTTTTTGATGTAAAAGCCAACACTTTTAGGCGAAGATTCCCAGTTATTGGGCAACGACAACCAGCGGAGTGCAGACAAATTAATAAAATAAACATTTAAATACAAATAAGGACACAAAAATCTGCTTCATATCCCAATAATATGGAGAACAAAGATTAATAATTAGGCCAAATTCACAAGAAAAATGCTAGAAAAACATTTACAATACCTAGAAAAATTAGCCAAAAATTGAAAAGGTCAAAAACTATCAAATATTCATCAAAGAAGTACTCTAAAGCAACACCATGTGACACTTAATACATTCATACACATATCACTTTAACAATAATAATACTCAAAATATAAGCCATTGCCTATCAGGGAATCAACAATAAAAATTCGAAAATTTTAGCCCAAAATTTTAAAAATTTCACTTCACCCATTTATTCCTTCCCCCACATTTAAGACAACATTATCCTCAATGTTGGGGATAAAACAAAGAAATAATAACAAGAAAAGAGATGAAAGTGAAACTTCCCTGATAACGAATGGTGTGCCAAAGACCAAATGGGGTGAGAGAAATTACTAATTACCATCCAATAGTCAAGCTCAGGAAGCCATCCTACCAAGCTATAAAAAGACAAGAAAACACTACAAATAAGAGTTAAATACTACACCAAATAACTCAAACTAGAAAGCAATAAAATTTTAAGGAAATAAACACCACCATTAATGTTAAACAAAAGAAAAATATTAAATAAAATTAAAAGGAAAATCGGGCTGCCTCCCGAGAAGCGGTAAGTTTAACGTCTTCTGCCAGATAGGGTCACATATGATTGTGGTGGATAAAATGATTCGGATGATTTCACAGTTTCCTTAGCATGTGCTTGCAATTTTGCATAATTTTTTTGCATCTCCATTGCGCTTTCAAACAATTAAAGAAGAATATGCACGATGATTTTGCAAGGGGATGACCTTTACTTCCTGCTCTAATACATATTTTTCACTATACAAATCATTAGAAATAGCAATATAGGAACAAAACTCCTCGTACGAAGGCTATTATAAGAGTTCAAAGACATTAAATTCTTCTTTCTCTTTACCAATACTTAAAATCAATTTTCCTTCAAGTAAGTCTATATTAGCCTCTTCTGTAGCTAAAACCCCTCTACCAAGGATAATTGGCATACAAATATCCTCCTCCATGTCAAGAACAAGAAGATCAGTAGGAAAATAAAATTTACCGACTTTAACTAATAGATCATCAACAATACCAATAGGATAATACACTGAACGATCAGCCAGTTGTAGAATCACTTGAATAGGCCCCAAATTGGCAAACTTTAATTTCCTGAAAAATGATAGAGATATCAAATTAACACTATATCCACGGTCACACAAACATTTATCAACAATAATATGTTCAAATTGACAAGGTACATTAAAACTCTCTGGATCTTTCATTTTGATAGGAAAACCATTTTGTGGCACTGCACTGCATTCCTCAGTAAGAGACACCTCTGCAAAGTCTTCTAACTTCTTTTTATTAGACACTATCTCTTTCAAGAACTTTGCACAAGCAGGTATATCAGCAAGAATTTCAAAAAAAAACATGTTCACTTGAAGTTTCTTGAGCAACTCCACAAACTTTTGATATTGCTCGTCCATTGCCTTTTTCTTAAGCCTTTGGAGAAAAGGGATGGGTGGCACATAAGCTTTCACCTCAAGCACCTTCATATGTTGATTATCTTACCCTTGATTTTTTCACGTGAACCATTCCCCGAATCCCCAGTTTCTTCACTTTTAATAGCAATTCCGCTCCTCCTTTGCTTTGCACTTGGTTTAGTCTTGGATTTAATGACAAGATCATCCAATACTTTGCCTGAACGAAGAGTCACAGCTATACTAGTTTCTTTTGGGTTCACCTCAATGCTACTAGGCAATTTCCCTGGTGCCGTTTCAATTACTACATTTACTAGTTGACCAACTTGCCTTTTAAGATTTTGAATGGAGGCTTGTTGAGATTGAGCAAGTTTGTCAAACTGGTCCATCTTTTGGTCCACCTTTTGCATGTATTGTAGCATCATTTCTTCAAGGTTGGACTTTTTCTCCTAAGTAGGTTGAGAAGAATATTAAAAAGTTGCTGCAAATTTTGAAACCCAAGTGGTCCCATAGGTCTAATCCATTGATCCTTTATGAAAAGTTAGGATGGTTTTTCCATCCTTCATATATGTGGTGGAAAAAGGATCATTCCTTGGCTGCAACTTCTGCCCCCCATGAAATTAACATCTTCTACCATGGTGGGAGGATCTCTATTATAGTAACTAGCACTAGAATAACCATACATGTGAGAATAAGCACATGATTCTTGAGATTGAACTACCCGATTTAAGAGTTATTGCATTTGATGACTCAATTCAGCTACCTGCCCAAATCCCATGGCACATTCACTTCATGCACTCGTACTCTCTTACCCCGAATTGGTTTTTGTTGAGAATTGATAGTTAACAATTCATAGAGACTAACAAATTCCTCCAAGGTTTTGTCACCAATATACCTTCCTGCTACAATATCCACCATATTCAGGGTTATTAAGGTCAACCCATCATAGAAAAATTACACTTGCAATGCCAATGAATAGTGGTGGTGAGGACATTGAGAAAGTAGTAGCTTAAAGCGATCCCATGCTTCATGTATTAGCTCTCGTTCCATCTGAGAAAATATGCAAATCTTGTTCCTTAAATCAATGGTCTTCTGAGAAGAGCAGTATTTGGTCATAAAGATGTTATAAACATCTTCCCATGTCCTCAAAGATCCTTCAAGGAGATGAAGTAACCAAGACTTTGCACGATCCTTGAAACAATAAGAGAAGCACCTTATTCGTAAGTCATCTTCTGAAACTCCACTCAAAGGGAAAGTTTGGACAACCAAATAAAATTCCATTATGAAGGACAATGAGTCTTCATTGGCTAAACCATGGAAAGTAGGCAACATGCTGCAGTGTACAGTTTTGAGCTCATAGTTTTTTGCTCCGTCACTTAGCTAGATGCAGTGGGAAGAGGTTACGATCACAGGAAGTTGGATGTCCCAAAGGCGAAGTCCTGCGAGTGGTTGCACTACCTGCTATTGATTATTGCCATTATTTCTATTCTCCTCAGCCATCTCTTCGTCGCCAGAATTGCCCGACTCAGCTATCTCTAAGGTGATATGAAATCCTGGTGAAGATGGTTGCAAAGTTTGTTTTTGCAAGCGAGTTTGCTTCCTCAAATACTTTGCAGCTTTTTCAATTTTTGAATCAAAATCCAAATCACCTTTTTGAGATTGGGTCATACACCAATCACCTAAGTAAGAAAAATCAAACTAAAAGTGAAGAACTAGAAGTAAAATAAGATAAAAAATTAAATTCAATTCAATAAAGTAGAAAAATTAAGTGTCGTCTCCAGCAACGGCACCAAAAACTTGATCGACAAATTCCTGCAAGCGCACAAGGTCAATCATCGTAATATTTTACCTCAAATGTTCCAAGGTCGAACCCACAGGGACGAGTTAATTTTCTATTTTAATTATTCTAACAAAATTCAAATTTAAGGAGTGTATTTTCTAACTAAACAATAAAAAAAAAACAATCAATTTAAATAAAGTAGTGGTGAGAAAACTTTAGACATGAGTCTATGATTTCAGGTTTTAATCCAAAATTTGAGTCAATTATCTAGTTAGTTTCTAACCACGTTATGAACGTATCACACGACTATATTTTAGACCACCTCTTGATGCATCTAAAGTGTGTTCCATTAAATCCTACACCTCTCTAGATGGTCATAAGAGTTCAATTAAAGCCATTAAAATTCTCAGTGATATAGGTGCATCACACATACCCTAACCTACTCTTATGATTAGTCTATGTGTGTTTATCTATCTAGTGCACGGTTGTATCTCCTTTCTCAAGTTGACACAAACCCAACATTCATGTTCATGGTGATCAGGCATAAACACGCATTAAGAACAAGATAAATAAATCATAGTAAAAGGCAAGAAATTAAACTACAAAAATTAATCAATTTGCTTCATAAAACCCCTAACCCGAGAAATAATTTATTTCAACATGATTTAAAAGTTAAAATCACAAATTCAAAAAGTTGCTACAAAGATAAGAGAAAGAGTAAGAAAACTTCTCAGTTGCTTGCTCCAATCTTCTCCTAGCGCGCTCCTTGATTCGCCACCATTTGAACTTGATCTCTCAATAATAAACTGTGAAAAGATGTTAAAACTAGATTAGACTAATGTTTTCCACCTAAAAATGACCTAAAGAACCCCTATTTATAGTTTCTTGAAGATATATCCTAAACAGGGTAGGAATAGGCTCTATTGGACTCAAAAAATCATGTTTTTGCACATTGATCCAATAAATACAGGCCCAATTCCAGCATAGGTCATTGGACGGAGCACAAAGCATAAAAGGATCTGGAGATGTTAGGTGCAAAGTCATTTGCGAAGTCTGGCGCCGGTCATGGATCCGCCCACAAATCAGTGTGGATCATTTTTGAAACCTCAAAACTCCATCAAATAGGCCGAATCAGTTCTTGCTCAAAACATGAAAATTGTAGCCCTTTGACTAGGCTTTGCAATGCCTCAAGAATAAAGTCATTTGGAGGTCTAGACATTGAGACATGCCTAAAATACTGATACTTGGTTGTAAGAGCATTGCAACATAACTATACTTCAATGATTTGGACTTTTGACTATGAAAACGTTAGAACCAAACTTTGAGGTCTCATAAAAGTTGTAGAGAATTTTCTTGGCTTCAAATTGAATTAAGAATCATATTAATCTGATTTGTGTAGTTCAAGTTAGCATCAAAATACTGAAATATGTCATTCCTACGAAACCTCTTTCCCTTGACTTTTTCCTCTTTCATTGCTACTTCACACCACATTTTTAGATCATTTTCTCTCTAATTGAGCTTTTTACCTATTAGAACAATATAAGAGCAAAATTAAGTAGTTTCTACTCAAAATAAAGCTCAAATAACATAGGCTCCATTTGGATTAGGTATTTTTGGGGTTGTTTTTCAAAAATAGCACTGTAACATTTCATTTTTGAAATACAAGTCCGTTTGCATTAGTTGTTTTTGGGGTTGTTTTTCAAAAACTATATGAAAAACTTTTATTGTAGATGTTTTTTGGATTATTTTTAGAGGTATTTTTAAAACATATTTTTGAGTATTTTTATAATTTATAATTTTTATATTTTTATAATTATATACATTTATGCATTTATAATACATTTATAAATATTTATAAATAAATATATTTATATATTTATATAAAAATATATAAATATATAAATGTATTATATTATATATAATACATAATATAATTTTTTTTTTTATAAAAGAATTTTTATTCAATCATTCCAACGACATAAACATCAAACAGAGCAGGCTAAGCGCGCCTTCTCCTAAAACTCGGAACCCCTAATTTATCCATACGTATCTCTCCCCTAGCCATTAGGGGCAAACTATCAAAGGAGTCAAAAAAGACAGCATCTCGTCGAATCGCCCCCAACTTGGCCAACCTGTCCGCAGGTTGATTTGCCTCTCGCCAACAATGAGTTATCGACCGAACCAAACTCTGCAATCGCAGGATCTCGTCCACCTCCACCTGCAACCGCCAGGGGCATGCATGACCTCCCGAAAGAATCTGAACCAGCGTTAAAGAGTCCACCTCCAAGTGTAACTGGGTATATCCTCGTGCTACACACTGCCGGACCCCATAAACCAAAGCGCGGAGCTCTGCGTGCAGGCTCGTAGTGATGCCAAAGTAGCAGGAGAACCCAAAGAGGAAACCCCCATGGCAATCGCGCAAAAGCCCTCCCCCACCACTCCTGCCCGGGTTGCCAAGCGAACACCCGTCAGTGTTAAGCTTGTAACCTTCCGGTGGAGGCAACCACTTAACAGGCCAGATAAGCCACCGACGTGGCCGCATTTCCAAGTAGTCGTGCAAACTCACCCAAGTGGCATGGGCCCATGGGAGTGACGGGAATTGCAGATGCAACAGCTCCTTCAGCCAGTGCATGACCCGGGTTATCACCACCCCCCCTTCTACACGCCCACCCTGCATGAAACCATTAGTCCGAGCTCTCCACACCTCCCAACAAATTAGAGATGGCAGGAGCCGATAGACGAATGCCAGATACCGATTTGAAGCAGGTCGAATCCACCACGAGATTGCCCTATGTCGAACCGAGTTGATACCATCCGAGCACCCCCCCGGAAAATCAAACGCTTTCCATACTTGACGAGCAGTCTCCCCTGTGCAAAACAGATGGTTCAATTGCTCCTCCTGAGGATTGATGCAGCAGCAACAGCGGGACGGCCCTTGGACTCCAAAACGTCGTAGCTGCTCCATTAGTGGTAATCTGTCTGACAGGAGTCGCAACATAAAAAATGAAATTGTTACCGGCAAGAATCTGTGCCAAATGCAAGCAGAGCCAAGGGATCCATTAGAGTGGGCACGAACAAGTGACATCGCTGAGGCAACCGAGAACTCCCCAGCAGGAGTTAACATCCATACCATCCTGTCTTCCCCCTGAAGAGCTGGAGGCGAGGACGCCATCACCAAACGAAATACCTCCGGCTGTAAAACTTTGGAGAGGAGTGGCGCGCTCCATTCCCCTCCAATAACAAAATCTGCTACACGATGGTCCTGGAACACCTCCACTTGACGACACAGCGGTCCTGACCCAGTCCAGTTATCATGCCAAAAATCCATTGTCCCTGACCGAACAATCCAGCCGATATTTTCCTCCATTACCCCCTGGACCATACACATCCGCCTCCAAGTGTAAGAGCTCCCTATCCTCTCCTCTACCAAGCAAGGGTGCCGGCCCCTACAATACTTAGCCGCAATAAAAGAAGCCCAGAGCGAGCGACCCTGTCTGAAAACCCACCACAACTTCATTCAGAATGCCTGAAAGACCTCTGTTATCCGCCGGAGGCCCAACCCCCCCTCACCATACGGCCTACAAAGGTCTTCCCATTTCATCCAGTGAAACCTCGGACCATACTCTGAAGAGCCCCATAGAAACGCTGCCATCTCTCTCTCTATCTCCCGTAAGACTCCCTTGGTAGGCGACGCCGCTGCCAACAAATGAATAGGCAGAGAGGATAGAACGTGCTTGAGAAGCACCACCCGTCCCCCTGGCGACAGAATTCGCTGCTTCCAAAATAAAATTCGACCAACAATGGCCTTGCAAACCTCCCCAAAATACTCCTTCTTCCGCCGTCCCGTGTACAAGGGGCAACCCAAATACCGGATCGGAAAGCTTCGATTCTGGAAGCCCGTAAGATGCCTGATAATGCTGCAGCGATACGGAGAAAGGCGAGGATGCACAAGGAAGGCACTCTTTTGCTTATTAATCTTCTGTCCCGACACCTCACAATAATCTTCGACAACCCTCATCACAAGACGCAGAGAAGATTTCAAGCCACTGGTGAAGATGACCACATCGTCGGCAAAAGCCAGATGTGTGACAATCGGGCAACCAATCGGAATCTTATACGGTTGAAACTGACGCTGCTCAACCATAGCGTTCAGCGCCCGAGAGAGAGCTTCAGAACCTATCACAAACAAGGCTGGAGATAGTGGGTCCCCTTGTCTCAACCCACGCGTTGAACGAAAGAACCCCTGAGGGGTCCCGTTGATCAAAACCGAGAACCAAACATTAGAAACCAGTCTCCAAATGGCATCAATCCATGACTCGGAGAACCCGAAACGCCTCAACACTTGCAATAGAAAATACCATGACACCCTATCGTAAGCTTTCATCATATCCAACTTAAGCACCACGTTTCCTCCACGTGACTGTTTCCCAATATCTGCCACCAATTCCTGTGCCAGTAAAAAGTTGTCTGCAATTTGTCGCCCTTTGACGAATCCACTCTGTTGAGGGGAGATGATCCGGGGTAACAACTTAGCTAACCGATCCGACAAGATACGTGAGAGCACTTTATTTAAGAAGTTACAAAGACTTATCAGACAGTATTGTGTGAAGTCCTGGGGGCACTGAACCTTAGGGATCAGGACAATATTCGTGGCGGTAATGCTCCTTGGCAGCTCCGCCCCACAAAAGAAGCTTAAAACCGCCTGGTAGACATCCTCCGCAATCACATCCCATGCAAATGTGAAAAACTCCCCCGTAAACCCATCCGGTCCCACAACGCTCTCACTATCCATTGAGAAAATCACCTTCTTAACATCCTCTAAAGTGGGGGGCTCCATTAGTCCGGAATTATCCTGATCGGTCACCAACCTCGGAATGGTATTCAAGAACTCATAAGTTGAGGGAGGCGCCTCTGCAGTGAAAAGCCCCTGGAAAAAACCAATTGCCTCCTTTCCGATGAGGTCCTCAGATTCTACCCAAGCACCAGTAGGTCCACGGATCCTATGAATGATAGCCCTACTTCTCCTCTCTGCCACCACCGCATGGAAGTACTTAGTATTCCTATCGCCATCCTTCAGCCACCGCACCCTGGCTTTTTGTTTCCAAAATCCTTCTTCGACAACCAAGGTAACCCGAAGCCGCTCCCTGGCAACATTGAGGGCCCGTTGCACAGAGTCAGAGGAGTCCTGCTCCTGGGCCACCTCCGCCTCCTGTACAGCCCTCTCTGCCTCCTTAACAGCCTTGAATATGTCCCCAAAAGAGTCCCTAGACCACCCTTTCAGCGCTTGCTTGACCGCACGCAACTTGGAAGCTAAACTCCCTAACGGCGACCCGCCAAACTCCCCTGACCATGCATCACGTATGACGTCCCGCAGCCCCGCTTTCGTGGTCCACACATTGAGAAAACGAAAAGGCTTCGGTTTATGATCGAAGCGAAAGGAAGCGGTCATCAAAAGCGGGGAATGATCCGACGGATCCCTAGCCAAGTGCTGCACCAGGAAGCTAGATCCCATCTGCAAAGCCTCCAAGTTGAGAAGCACTCTATCGAGGCGTTTCCAAATCCGAGCCCGCCCTTGCCGATTATTACACCACGTATACTTGGAACCCGAGAAACCTGCGTCCATCACTCCAGCCTCCACCATGAACCGCGCAATTTCGACCCCTTCATTTAATTGAAATGGCACCCCTCCTCGCTTCTCTTCCTCCTGAGCAATCACATTTAAATCTCCCGCTAAGAACCACGGAGTCTCAGTTGGCTTGTCCAACAACAACTCTGCCCACAACATCTCGCGGTCGAGCACTGTGCATTTGGCATGGATAAAGGAGAAAACCAGGGTAGATGGGAATAACGGGCAATGGACCTGTAGCGACACATGTTGACTCGACTCGCCAACCACCAAGCAAGAGAGACCTGAGTTGTAAAAGACCCAAACGGTACCCCCCCTATTTGAGACACTCCCATCCATCCCCAACTGTAAGCGCACAGCATCAATGTTGTCTAGGGTAACTTTCGGCTCGCAAATCGCCACCAATTTTAAAGAATGTAGTTTAACAAGTTTCTTAAGCCTCCTAAAATTTGGGGCGCGAGAAACACCCCTAATATTCCAAAATAGCATTTTAATCATTGGAGAGAACTACAAAGGAATTAGATGAAGAGGACTTACTTGATCGTAAAGTTCGGTCAGATGGAAAACGAGCACGAACTCCCCGATGTCTAGCGTGAGCCCTTTCCCATTGCCCTTCACCCCCAGAGAGATGATTTACCACCCCTTCCGCATCAGCAACCGAATCAAGGTGAAGAGAATCAGCTAGCCTTCCTTGAGTGTCATCAAGATCCACAATGAGCTGCATATTCGCAAGAGAAAGACTGCCATCTTCTAGATTTAATGCCTCCATTCCTGCCCCATATTCCAATCTCGTTCGACCCTCCTCCTTAGGAGACAAGCTGTCCTTGCGACGTTGAGTTCCAACTACTTCCTCCTCCATAATCTCAACACCCATTTGCCCCTCTATCGATACTTTAGCCAGTGCCACATCCATCTCCTCTGGCCGCACTACCATTCCCATTTTGCAGCTGTCAAGATGCAGCCCAGGCTCTTCCCCTTGGCTCGCTGCCCCCATGTATGCACCCCCACCCACGGCCTGCTCCTCCAAGGTAAACTCCCTGACATGAACATTCTCAATCTGCTCCTCCTCAGGTTCATCCACCACTCAATCCGCCAGCGCATGGATGATAGCATCAGCAGCAGCCTCGATCCCTTCCTCCACGAGCGCAGCCACTGATCCAGGATGCTGTCTAGAAGTCTGCACTTGCAGTCCACCCATAACAGACGGAGGCGTAACAGTTGAGACCATACCCAATCGCTGCCCCTCCGCCTGCCCCATTTCCTTTACCTGCCGCGCACCTGATTGCACCTCAGCAGTTACCTCAATTACCAGGCCTGGCCTTTCACCCTCTGGTCCCTTGTTAACCTGCAATGAGGGCACCCCCACGCCGCCCCTCCTTCCCACAACCTGGTCTTCCTGCATCTTAGACATCCTCAGGGCAGGATGTTTCACACGGCACTGATCCTCCCCATGCCCTTGTCGGTAACAATGACTACAATACTTAGGAAGATTCTCGGGTATGAGAACCTGCCAAAAGCCATCCCCATCACCCATGTCCACCCACACCTTCGATGGTATCGGCTTCAATAAATCAATCTCGACACACACCCGTGCCACATTCGGGCGAGAGAATGAAGCCGTAGCCGCATCAACGAATAACGGCTTGCCCATGCAGGACACAAGATGAAAAAGACATGGCTTAGCAAACAAATGAATAGGCAACTTGGGCAAGCGAACCCAGACAGGGACAAGGGACGACTCTCTATCGACATGGAACTTAGATGTCCACTTGAAAACTCTCATAGGACACCCAAACACATACCAGAGGTTACGGCCCCAAACGCGTAGGAAGTCCGCTTCGCTAAGAAATTTCAGCAACACATGTCGAGAATCTAACAAACCCACTGATACCGTGTCTTTCAAATCAAGAGTCGAGAAGAACTTACGAAGATCCTGCATCGCTGGACGCCCCTTGGAGAATTTTCCAACCAAGGTGTATCGAAAAGGGGCAGCTACCGCTGCAATGTCCGCAGCGTTGAAGATTACTGCCGGCTCCCCACGATGGGTTGACAAAGTTGCTTGAACCACATCAGGCGAGCGACTCTCAAACAACGCAGAGAATGATTTCTTCTGGAAGTTTGGAGAAGAAGAGACCGATGGCCCCCCACCAGGAGGTAGGGGGCAGCCGCGGCTGCCATGGGAAAAAAAAACGAAGGAACCCTAAAATTCTAAAACTGGAAACTCGAGAGAGAAAACATTCGAGTACTGGCTCTTTTAGAAGTATTTTTCCAATACATAATATAAATATATTTATAAATGTATAAATTATAAATGAATATTATATAAATGTATAAATTATAATTTTTAATTTTTAATTTTTAATTTTTATATAAATATACATTTATGCATTTATAATACATTTATAAATTTTTACATAAATATTTATAAATGTACTACAATTTACACCTTATCAACCACTTTGCCTTGGCTGTAAAATGATCTTTTATCTCTCCTGACCATAGGAAAGAAGCTAGTAGAGCATCAGTTTTCTCAATACAGCCTTAGAGTGTATGAATGCACTTGCACAATAAAGGTAGGTGCACTCAAAACTGATTGAATTAGCTGCAATCTACCCTCGTAACTGAGTTTCTTATTTGCCCAACTATAAATTCTTTGCTGAATTTTATTGAAGATAGGTTAACAATCTTGATATCTAAGCTTAATAGATATCAATGGCAATCCCAAATATTTCACAGAAAAGGCACTTCTAGTGATGCTCACTCTATCACTTAGCTTTTCAGCAACCTCATCTGACACTCCTGATAAAAGTACGTTACTCTTCTGTAGATTTGGTTTAAGTCCAGATAACCACTCAAATTCAGTAAGAGAGTCCTTAAGAACGTGGAGAGACTGAGTAGTAGCAACAGCAGACACAAGGAAAAGGTCATAAGCAAATGCAACATGAGAAAAATTAAGCTCAGTACAACCAGGGTGAAAATCAAAGCCTCTTTTCTGAATATCTCTTTGCAATAGTGTAGAAAAACTCTCTATACCTATGAGAAAGAGATAGGGGTAAATGGGGTCTCCTTGTCTAAGTCCTCTTTCACTATGAAAATATCCAATTAATGATCCATTTGCGTTGATAGAAAAATGTGTTGTGGTGACATGCTTCTCCACCCAGTGAACATACTTTTCAGGAAATCCCATAATTTTCATAGTAGTAAATAGGAAATGCTAATCCACAGTATCATAAGTTTTCATGGAGTCAACCTTTAGCACAAATCTTGGTTTTCCTCTATACCTATGGTATCCACGGACCAGCTCATGCATGATTAGCACACTATCTGCAATCTACCTCCCTTTAATAAAAGCATTTTGTGTTTTGGAAATCAAATCAGGCAAAACTTCTTTAGTCTAATATTGGTTAATACATCTGAGTGGCATCTATGTAGAAGATTATAGCAGGGGATAGGTCTGAAATCCATCATCTGCACTGCATCTTTAATCTTAGGAATCAAGGACAATGAGGCATTGTTCTGAGGAAAATACATGTATTCATTCTCAAAATAGAACTTTAAAGCAGCAATGACGTTATTTCCCACAATTTCTCAATTGCTTTTGAAAAATATAGCTGTGAAACGCTCGGGACGAGGGGCATTGCGATTCTTCATAGCAAACATTGTTAGCATATGTTATTTTTATTTTCTTTCTCTCTCCTATTATTTTGTTATCCCTTGTAACTACTATAAGATTAGGATAGAATTAGTTTTTGTATTTCTATATGATAAAGATAGGACTAATTAGTTAAATGACAAGGATAAAATTAGCATAGTATTCTAGTACGTTAGGCTGGAAGTTTGCATTTGATCAAGGGCATGATACGATTGAGGTTGGCTGGGCCAAGAAAGTCACCTATCTCTGGAACATGCAAGTCGAAAAATTGATGTGTGTCCAAATACCCCTTTGCTTATTAGTGGTTTTTGTGGAAAAGTAGATATTTTTCTCTAGATTATTAAAAAGAAAATATTAAGCTTACTCACAGAAGTATAAAGCTTTGCAAGTAGGGATGGCAATGGGGCGGGGGTTCCTTCCCCCATCCCCCGCCCCGTTGTCAAATAACTCCCCTTGTCCCCTGCCCCTTGCCCCCCACCCCCGCCCCGCCCCCGCACCGTTTCCCCTGCGGTCCCACGCGAGAAAAGAAATCAACTTATCATAAAATGTTCATTTACAATAATTCATTGAATTTTTTATTACGTTGCACTTGATTGCCCCTCTATGTATATCTGACTTTTCAGTTACCAGCCCATCTCCTGACCAAAATATATCATTTGGAGTTATTTCAGCATTATACATATATCCATGGCTATCTTTTTTTTTATAATACTAAAATCCTAAACCATTTAATTGCCGTAAAACGAGTATTAGTACATAAGATGCCAGAGATTCATATCCAAAGCCACAGCATAGCTTTACAACAACATAGAGCTTTTCCCATTAACTAAAAGCATTCACAGGTCTCCTGAACTAATTAGCTAAAGATGACCCCCACCATAATAAGTTATATCCATGGCTATCTAAAAGGATTGAACAACTCAGAAATTTATGCACACAAAAGCCTAGTACATGAAGCAAAAAAAATTAGAAGCAAGCCTATACGAAAAGCAAAACTCTCCTCGTATGTCCAAGCATTTTTGAGAACTAACAAGAAAGAGGAAGAATTCCCAAACGCTAACCAAAAATATCTTGAACAGTTAGGGGTTTTGTTACTTTTGTGTATTTATATATATATATTTTATGCAGGGGACGGGGCGGGGGATGGGGCGGGTGTATGTTGCCCCATCCCCCGCCCCTTTTTAAGGCGGGGGTAAATATTTTGCCCCCGCCCCGCCCCATTTGTACCCCGGCGGGTGCCCGCCCCATTGCCATCCCTATTTGCAAGTCCAAAATGAGCAATTTTGATGGACAATCTACGTCAGTGTCCCAAATTCAAGGGAGTTTTGAAATTTCAAAAGTTAGGAATAAGGTGATGGACTAATAATTAATTGAGAAAGTTAGTGATTAATAGGAGTTTGCAACTGTAAACGATAATTAAGTAAAAGGATAATATGAATATCACAGTCCGTAACTTAAATCTTAGTTACAGACACATCCTAACCACAGATTCCTAATTCATGTTTTCAGGTCATCTTGAAATGCAGACGTAACAAATTTCATAGGTTGCAACAGCCAATTTTTGTACAAGAGAGGTCAGTGTATATAAATGTTGATCATTAGAAGAGACACCAACCTCATTAACCCTTATAGGAATAGAATCCAGTCTATTACCAAAATATTGAATACTAGCGGTCATAAATTAGTAAAAAAAATAAGAGAAAAAAATAAAAATCCGAAGAAAATAAATCGAAAAGGCACTAGTACCCGGCAACGGGGCCAAAATTTGATGGGTGTTAAACCACCAAAATTAAAATTCCTACTCTCAAACTTAAATTCAACTGTAGTGGTGAGTAGGGTCGTCTCCTCAGGGACTCCATGATTTATTTCCTTCTAACACAATAATTAAATGGGGGTTCTGGAAAATTAAAATAAAAAATCAGTTTAACTAAAAGTAATCAAATGAAAGAAATTTAAATTAAGTTAATAATAAGTGAACTCTAGCCAAAGAAATAACTACGGAAGTGGTTCATACAACTATTCATCGATGCAATAATTATTTCATCTATTTGTTAATAAATAGGTTATAGTTGCTAAACACGCGATGATAACCAGCTTTTCCTTACCGTCTCGATGGTTAACTTATGCCTATTAACTACTTTTCTAACCAAGAAACAACTCTAGGTATGCCCATAGAATTTAATTTCTTGATTGCATTAAAAACTAGAAAAACCCTATTCTAATCAATAAACACACTATCAGGGTTTATTTAAATTAGATTATATATTTTCCTAATACGAAACCAATCACGCTAGTCGCCACTAATTTAAGATAATTAAACAATTACGGATTTAACTATCTGA